AATCACTGTCAGATTAAATCTATACTGGACCCTACTATGCAATGTCTCCACTATGCCGCGACCTCACTGTGCTACCGTTTAAACATATATTTTTACTTAAAAGTGCCATAACCTTTTCAAAATTGAACAAATCAATATAATTTTTTTTTATAGATGCATGATGTTTTTACCTATTATTTGGTGTATATTTTTTTTATAAATCTGATCCTTTACCTACCCAGAGGGAGGGATTCAAAATGACAACTTTTTCCCCAAAAATTGACTTTTTCAATTTAACTTTTAAAAATGTTCCGAAAAGTCTGATAATTATATATTTATATATATATATCTTAAATTAAAGCTAATGTAAGGTACTTTATAATGGAAAAAAAAATTTCCCACATTATTTTGTCTTCGCGGTGAAAATGGCTACTGTATGCTATTTTTGTGTTAAAATTCTCGATTTTATATTTTACATATTTAACTTTATAATGCATTAACTTTTAAAAAAATGTATGGATCAATACAATTTTTTATGAGAAATAATATTTATATCCCTTTTTCATTCGGCACACTTTATCTTAATCAGGATATTAATGAGGAAATAGCAGATCATGTAGCTTTTGTAATAATCCACCAATTTTTTTAAAATTAAATACTATCTAAATATTTGCATGGAAGCATTTTTTTTTATAGTGATTTTAATCACTGTCAGATATCATTATACTTGATCCATCAATGCCAAGTCATCACTGTGCCACGAGCCCCTTGTGCTGGGTTTTTTATTTTGAAGTACTAATAATAAATTTGTTTAAATAGTGTAATAAGAATTGATAAAATTTAGATAATATTATTTAAAATTAAAAATATACTTAAAATATTGATTTAAAACTAAAAAATGTAAAAATTACTTAACTCAAAAAGACACAAAATTACTTTTCTAAGTAATTTTGAAGAAAAAATAATAGAATATTTCAATTTAATTATTNAAAAGACACAAAATTACTTTTCTAAGTAATTTTGAAGAAAAAATAATAGAATATTTCAATTTAATTATTTTTTGAATAAAAAAAGTAATTTACAATGAAATTAAATTATCAAAATTGTGTTTTTTTCTATGTTCAAAAACAAAGGTGCAAATCAAGTTGATTAGCCTAAATTCAGATCTCCTTAAAGAATTCATGTGAATTATATGTGCTATCTAAATTTATTATTATCATTAGCTCATTAGTTTTAGTGTTGTGCTTAAAGGTATTATGTATTTTTATTCATCATT